TTTATATAGCTCTGACATATACCGCAGCGCTGTACAGAGAACACTGAGCCAGTCACATCAGTCTCTGTGCCAGAGGAGCTTACACTCTAATGTCCCCTCCCCTACAGTCCCATCAGTCTCCGTACCAGAGGAACTTACACTCTAATGTCCCCTCCCCTACAGTCCCATCCGTCTCCGTACCAGAGGAGCTTACACTCTAATATCCCCTCCCCCACACACATCGATCTCTGTACCAGAGGAGCTTACACTCTAATGTCCCCTCCCCCACAGTCACATCAGTCTCTGCACCAGAGGAGCTTACGCTCTAATGTCCCCTCCCCCACAGTCACATCAGTCTCTGTACCAGAGGAGCTTACACTCTGCACCAGAGAGGTTGTGCTGCAGGTGCTCTCCCTCTCCAGGCACTAGGGGGCCAGGCCTGCTCGCCTGGCCCCAGAAACATGGCCTCTTCTGGGCTAGGCTCAGACCATGCTCCCCCTGAGGGACCCAGCTTGCCTTCCCATACTTTACCAGCACCTGAAGACCTTGGCTGTGGCCCTAAAAGTGGGGAATCCCTCCCTGTCTTTAGAGAGCGGGTTGCTGATTATCTGGTGAGAATCGCAAAGGAGGAGGAAAAGTTGGTGAGTCTGAAAAACTGACTACAAGAAAAAGAAAGTTCTCCATGACAAGTCATGGAGCAGCAAGAGGCAGAGCATGAAGCCGGAGATGAAGGGTTTGGAGGTCGCCATCAAGAAGCAGCAGAATCTGGTAAAGACGCTGAAGGAGAAGAGCGGAGCTTTCAGAGAAAAGTTCCGGAATGAGGAACGGTTCAGGAAAATGAAAGGAGACTCCGGTAAGGATTCAGCATCGGCGGTGGCAGTACGGGTGGAGAGTGAGGAGGGGGTCCTGGATGCTGCCCCTGCTATCCCATCCACCTCAGGATCTGCTTCCCTGGAGGAAATGTCAGCCTCTGCCCCCCTCCCTCCACAGCAAGCTGGAGGAACAGCACAGGAGGTAGAGGAATATGGTGGAGGGCTGCTAAAGTACATTGAGGAATTGGAGTCTTCCCTAATTGGAAGAACTTTCCGCTTTTTCTGAGGACTCTGAGGATGAAGATGACGGTGAGGACTCTGTACCTGGTCCTGTAAAGGAGAAAAAAAACAGAAAAGCCACGCTTTATTAAAAGTGCCAGTTTGGACTCCAGTGTGGACAGCCATGTGCACTGCAGTGTTTTGGAGGGAAATCCTCCTGTGTGTGCACAGAGCTCTGCAGGGAAGATGGCTGCTGTGCCTGCAGGACTGCACTCTGCTGGGACTGAGGACTCTGATACCAGGAACCCTGGGACTGTGGACTCTGCTGGGGGGAAGGTAAAGGGGGGGATCTGAGACTATTGCTGGACAACCTCTGCTGATGGCTGCAAATGCAGCAGAAAATGGTGGGAGGGAAATTGTCAGCAGCACTCTGAAAGGGGTTGCTGAAACCCAGGGGAGAGTGACCAGGAGTGGAAGGCTTTTGCCTAAGAGGAGTATGTTGGGGGAGGGGGAGACAGGAGCATCTGGTGTGTGAGTGGGTCTGCTGGGAGCAGTAGTGCCACGAGTGAAAGGAAACATATGGATGATAAGAGTGCTTGCAATGCTGGAAAGGGGAATGCCTGTGTGTTGGTGGATGGAGGGACTGCTGCTGCCTCTGATGGTGGTCTGCAGAGCGGGGGCTCTGAGGTTCCTGCAACCAATGGGCGGGGTGCAGCTTTAAGGTCCACTACAACTAATGCTGCAAATAAGACCTATGCTGGGGCTCTGGCTGGGAGGAGGGGGTCACATCATACTGTCAGCTCTGGGGGGAGGTCTGCTGCAGGTCTGCCATCTGCACCCCTGTCCTTCAGGAGGAGGAATTTGGTGCAGCTCAGATGGGAAGGTGGGGGTGCTCCCCCGGTCAGGATGTCGGTGGTGGACAGGATTTTGGAGATGGGGTTTAGGGCGGATGACATCTTCGCCTTGATCAGCCTGTAGGATCCTATGACTATGACTTGTCCTTTGTGCGCCCCGAGTCTCTGGATATATTCTGGGAGAAGTATGAACACATGTATAAGGGTCTGCCGGAGTGGAGGGGACTCGTCCCAAAGGTTGTCTCACGCCAACCTCTAGTGAAGACGGTCACCATTCTAGTACGGAATGAGTCCATTCCTTCGGCTGACTTGGCTGTCTGGCTGAGGAGATTTGGGGAGCTACTTGCACCCCTGAAGAAGATTGTGGATGAGAGAGGGATATGGACTGGTGGGTGGTCGGTGCAGATGAGGTTGTATGTGTGTGGGAATGTGGTCCAGCATCTGCCCTCCTCAGCCTTCATTGGGAAGGACAGGATTGTGGTGTTCTACCCTGGACAGCCCAAGCTCTGCAATAAATGCGGTTCTCGGGGTCACTTCGCCTCCTCATGTCCAGAGATGAAGTGCTCTCTATGTCAGGATCTGGGGCACCTGGCTAAGGATTGTAATATCATCAGGTGCAATCTGTGTGATAAGGTTGGCCATTCCTACAACCGGTGCCCTGAGGCCATGCACAACCAGTCAGCTTTGGTGGAAGAGTTTTTTCGTCTGGACATGGAGGAGGCAGAGGAGAGGGAGGCTGTGCCAGGGGTCCCCAATGTCTCTGTCCCTGTGTGGTCCCAGTGTCTGATGGTCCCTCTAATGTGTCATCTCCGTGTGTTGTGCCCCCTGAGTCAGTGTCCGTGGATGTTGTGTCTGATCCTCCTGTGTCAGTTTCCCCAGAGGTAGTGGGGGCTGTGGAGGGAACTGGACCAATGTGTATGGTTGCACCGACCCCCCCTCCCCGGCGTCAGAGGGTCAGAGCGCGTGAGGCGCTGGGAGGTGGAGTGAATGATGGTGGGGGTGTTGGGGTGAAGGTTGGGGGGACTGCTGTGGTGAGTGGAGAGAGTGGGGTGGATGATGGTGGAAGGGAAGGGGAGGGGGCTTTGCGGGTTCCGGTTTATCAAATGATGATATGGAGTGGTTGGAGGCAAAAAGGAAGTCTGGGAAGAAGAAGCGGAAGAAGGATGTGCCTGTACCTGACCCTGGGAGGGTGGAGGTGTCAAACACATTTGAAGTGTTATCTGAGGTGGAGGATGAGGGATCTTCAGGGGATGAGTCTCTGGTTTCCATGGAGGAGGAAACACAGAGGACTATGAAGCGTGTAGGGTCTCCAAGTAGGGAGGGGGGTAAGCAGGCTAAGAAACGGGTACCTCGATCATCCTGATGGCGGTTCCCACTCCTTTGAAGGTGGCGACCATTAATGTCGCCAGCATAAAATCAGTAAGTGCTCGTAACATGGCCTTATTTTTGCTCAGCAGGTTTGATGCTGACATTTTCTTTTTGCAAGAGACCAGGTTGTCCAGTTTGGGGGATGTTCATATGGCGAAGAAGGAGTGGAGGCGCGGCCCCTCCTTCTGGTCTCTTGCGGCCGAGCCTTACACTGGAGGTTGCGGTACTTTTTTCCGGCATGGTAACCTGTCGGCGGATTATTGAGGTAGAAATGGGGAGATGCATGGTCTTAGACGTCTCCATGGGGGGCAGGACCTGCGCCTGATTAACATCTATGGGCCCCAGACAAAATGGGACAGGAAATGCCTCTTCATGAAGATCAAGCCTTTCCTTTTTACAGCCCAGCAAGTTGTCTTCGGTGGTGACTTTAACACCGTCACTAGGACTAAGGACAGGAGAGGGACCGGAGTCATGGACTGGGAAAGAGACGGGATTAAACAAAATAGCTAGAGAGGCAGGACTGTGTTGACGGTGTTTTCATTGCTGCCCAGACGAACACGGGAAACACTTTTCAGCGAGGTTCCAGTCAGAGTAGAATAGAGAGGTTTTTTGGTTGATGTGCACATTCATTGCTGCCTTCTCGGCACACGGGATTCACTGTGTCAGCGAGGTTCCAGGTCAGAGTTTTCCGATAGGTTTTTTTGTAAAGGGGAACTCCGCCTTCTCGGCCCCCACACCACCTGTCAGGGCGGGTAGAGTTTTCTGATCACTGTATGGACTGTCTGTGACTCTGAGTGGCCCTTTGACCAATTAAGGGGGAGGGGTATCAATCAAGCTGTTTTCGGCACTCCTGGACGATGAGAAGGTGAGTTAATCCTTGATGAGGGTTTTTCAAGGCACAGGTATCAATCGGGAAAACATGGACGTTTGCAGCAGTAAGTATGGTGGGAGGGAGCTTACAAAACGAAGAGGATCGTTGGGTTTTTCAAGGCCATAGGAAGGAATAAACAGCTTGATAAGTATGTCACCTACCAGCGTCTGCGGAGGAAGCTCGATCGGCTTGTCTCGAATAATGGGGATCAGAAGCGATCTCTGAGGTCAAACTCTTGCTCAGGCAGTGTCAATATGACAGGCATGCCTCTTTGGTTCTGGAAAGGGATTATGGGAAGTATCACTCGCCTGACCCTTACCAGAACTGCAAACAAGGTAGAGCAGTTAAGTCAGTTGTAGGCCTGGTTGACAGTACGGGTTCCCTGACAAAGTCCAAGTCAGGGATCCTGGAAACCTCCAGGTCATATTATGCTGACCTCCTGGGTAGGAGGGACCTCGATCGAGCGAGCATGTCGGGTTTTCTGGACTCTACTCCAGGACTGGGAAATGGCAGTTCTCTTGTGAGTTTGACAGAGGACATCACGGCAGATGAGGTGGTGAAAGCTATTGATCAGCTTGCAATGAAGAAGTCGCCTGGGCCAGACGGATTGACAGCCGAGTTTTATAGGCACTTTAAGGTGACTCTGGCCCCATATTTGGTGGAGGTGTTTAATGGCTGTCTGAGAGAGGGTTCGCTCTCTCCCTCCATGCGACAATCTGCAGTGATTCTTCTGTCAAAGGGTAAGGATTCCTCGAGAATTGAGAATTGGCGGCCATTAGCCTTCTCAATGTTGATAGGAAGATATTGGCAAAAATTATTTTCTGGCGTTTATCGTCTGTTGCGGGCAATTTACTTTCTCGCCATCAGCACTGTTCGGTTCAGGGAAGAAGCACTTTTTCAGCGGTGTTAGCTGTCCGGGAGGCCCTGGAGCGGTGCAGGGCTGCAGGCTGGGGAAAGTTCCTGCTGGCATTGGATCAGGCCAAAGCTTTTGATCGAGTCAATCATGAGTACCTATGGCTGCTTCTTGGCAAGTATGGCCTGGAGGGGGGCTTTATCGATTGGCTAAAGACCTTATACAGAGGGGCTGAAAGCTTCATGCTTGTGAATGGTTGGATTGGACGACCCTTTGAGGTTGGCTCAGGTGTGCGTCAGGGGTGTCCTTTGAGTCCTCTGCTATATGCGTTTGTAATCGATCCCTTCATTCGGAGGTTAGAGAGCGGACCGTTGTGTGGAGTTCCTTTGGGCATTCCTGGGGAGCCCCCTCTGAGGGTCGTGGCCTATGCTGATGACGTGTCTGTTTTCATCTCCGGGACGCAGGAGGCAGAGGAGGTGGTCTCGGTGATGGAACGGTATGCTGAGGCATCTGGCTCAAAGATCAATCAGGATAAGAGTGAGGTTTTCTGGATGGGAGAGGAAGGCGAAGGCTTTACCCTTCCGGACGCCTTCCCAGAGCCCCAGCAGGAAATTAAAGTATTAGGCATCAGATTTGGTCCCGGTGATTACGGCCTTGCAAATTGGGTAAGCAGGCTACAAGATGCCGATGCCAAGGTGGCCAGCTGGAAGGATTGGAAACTCTCTTACAGGGAAAGGATTGACCTGATTAAAACTTACCTGATCCCGGTATTTCTGTATGTCAGCTTTGTCTGTGTTTTGCCAGTGTCTCTCTATGCGAGGATCTACAGTTGTTTCTTCCAGCTGTTATGGGGGCACAAACTGAACCTCATTAAGAGGTCTGTAACCTACCTTCCCAGGCGGATGGGTGGCCTAGGTATGGTCAACCCGGTGGTTTTCTTTTCTCTGATGTTTTTGAAACATAATTTTGGTAGCATGCTGGCAGAGGAACCGCCTGGGTGGGTTGGTATTTTTCAGTCCTGGTTTAGGCCTTTTCTACGGAGCTGGGAGAATGGTGGGCCAGTGAAAAGCCTGAGGGTCCAACATGGTAAGCTCCCGGCTTATGTTGCCCCGTGTCTGAAAATGCTTCGGCAATGGCGAGTGACGGCGGAGGAAATTAAATCTCTTCCTAGGAAGGCCTGGAGAGGAGGGTTGTTGAATCTGCCTTTAGCGAGCCATTGGCCTTGAGGGATTGCCCAGGCCCGGTTATGAGGGAGGGTCTGCGTTTGATGAATCTGGAGAGAATCCCTTTAAAGTTTCGGGATTTGGCCTGGCTCTCGTTCCATGGCAGACTCTATGTGAAGGGCAACCTGAAGCATCGCTCTGCGGAGAACCGTGGTTGTCCAAGAGTGGAGTGCGGTGGGGTGGAGGAGACGATGGACCATTTCTTGCTTCAGTGCCCCTTCAATATAGAAGTCTACAAGCGGGTGGGTGGGGCTCTGGGGATCCCTTTCCTTTCCCGCTTGAGTTACGCGGAGTGGTCTTACGGTGCCTTTCAGACTCACCGGGATTTTGATTTTGAGACACTTTTTCTAGTTAGCTTAGTAGTCCGTTACCACACGTGGAATGCACGGTGTCAGGTTTCCATTCGCAAAAAAGTCCTTCCTGTCGAGGGTGGTGGTGAACAACATTCTGGGTGAGGTTGGGAAGATTCGGGGTCTTGAGAAGGACAGGTGGCGGCCGGGAGCCTGGACAAAGGCGTGGAGGAATGTCAGGTCCCCGTAGCTGCTGTCTGTCAGTCTCTGGGGGCGTGGCTTCTCTTTCTGTCCTTTCACGTCCCCTAGATTTTGTAACATCAGATTTTTGAAGAAAGGCTGCATGCATGGGATTGATGTATGGAATGAATGTGTGGGGTGAATGTGTGGGATCAATGTATGGGATCAGTGTATGGGGTGAATGTTTAATCGTTTCTTAGCCTGAGGGGGTGTTTAGGTGACGGTCAGGATTTGTTATTTTGCTGAAGTAAGCTGGTTTTGTTTAAAAATACATATTTTTATTCTGTATATATGTAAATATGATTTTTATGATGTTTTTTGTTTGCAAGATTTTTAATAAACAAAAAATTACACTCTAATGTCACCTCCTCCAGAGTCCCATCGGTCTCTGTATCAGAGGAGCTGACACTCTAATGTCCCCTCCCCCACAGTCACATCAGTCTCTGCACCAGAGGAGCTTACGCTCTAATGTCCCCTCCCCCACAGTCACATCAGTCTCTGCACCAGAGGAGCTTACGCTCTAATGTCCCCTCCCCCACAGTCACATCAGTCTCTGTACCAGAGGAGCTTACACTCTAATGTCCCCTCCCCCACAGTCCCATCAGTCTCTGTACCAGAGGAGCTTACACTCTAATGTCCCTTCCCCCCACAGTCCCATCAGTCTCTGTACCAGAGGAGCTGACACTCTAATGTCCCCTCCCCCGCAGTCACATCAGTCTTTGTACAGAGGAGCTTACGCTCTAATGTCCCCTCCCCCACAGTCACATCAGTCTCTGTACCAGAGGAGCTTACACTCTAATGTCCCCTCCCCCACAGTCACATCAGTCTTTGTACAGAGGAGCTTACGCTCTAATGTCCCCTCCTCCACAATCACATCAGTCTCTGCTCCAGAGGAGCTTACACTCTAATGTCCCCTCCCCCACAGTCACATCAGTCTCTGCTCCAGAGACTGTGAACTACTTCCAGCATAATATTGTTCAAGTCCCATTTCGGCCTTTTCTGCCTCCCGATACAGACAATTACGGTTGGACCAATCTAAATTACAACCAATCGGTTCGGGAATCGATGGAAGAACACAGAGTCCAGTCTCTGCAGGACCGCCATGCCAACCACTCAGCTCAGCTCCGGCAATCTCACATTCAGATAACAAATAATGGCATCCGTTTATATTATAATTAATGCATTCAAATGTTTTATTTCCCACCTAGCATTAACCCCCCCGGTCACATCGAACATCACCCCGCATGGCACCCCGAACATCACCCCGCATGGAGGGGAATCGTCCAATAATAATCGTCACTACCTGTACTCTCTGATACCCCTCATCCTCCTCTGCCTGGTGTTCATCCTGTACCGGCGAAGTGCGGCTAGAAAAGGTGAGGAAGACGAATTCTTCATGTCGGACGATTTATACATCAAAAACAGTCCAGAATGTTTGTGCAGATATCACATTGGATACCCCGCCTCCCAGGGGTCCAAATGAGGACAGAGAGGATTTGGGGGTTATTTTATTTTTTTTTATAAATATTACAATTATACCAATAACAATGACTTCTGAAATGAGTTCATAGCTCTTTGCTGATAATAATAGAAGTCGAGGTTTCCATTGCATTAGTGTTACATTTTCTCATGCAGGCCCGGACTGGCCATAGGACACAGCGGGCGTTTGCCAGTGAGCTGGGGCCACCTGGATAGGAGGGGCGGCTGGGCGGTACATAGAGGAACCAGACTGTGCATTTCTCAATTCTTCTATGTGCCGCCCGGCCGCCCCTCCTATCTACTGCTGCCCTGGGTTCCTGTATACTCCCCCCACAGTCATCCCCCCCATCTCCCACAGAGTTGCCACCATGTTCCCCCCTCCCTGTAGCTGCTGCAGGGGATCTGTCAGGATAGACTGTCCCCAGAGCCGACAGTTCCCCCACCCCCATCACCACTACCACAGACAGGGGAGGAGAGAGAAAGCTGGTTCTGACCTCCCCCCACCCTCTCCTCCTGTGTCTGCCTCGCCCAGACTCCCCGCCAGCCTTGTGTCTTCTCTCCCCCCTTCTTTCTTTCTCTCTTCTTCTCTTTCTTTCTGGCCACAGGTTGAGCACCCCTGGTCCAAGGAGTCTTCTAGTCTGCTGTTTTATTTGACTTATGCAGGCCATAGACGGGTCGAAAATCGGCCATTTATTAAAAAAATGAAAAATCAGTCATTCGATCAACCGACGTTTACCACCAACGGTAAACAAATTGGCCGATTTTCATCCCGTCTACGGCCGGCATTTAATTACTTCTGTCCCTTGCGGAGAGCTCTGCTATTGCATTTGACATGAAAAAGTCTTGCGGTTGCAACAATGTATCAATTTGTATCCATTTCGTATACAGATGGTTTTATTCGGATACAAATAGATACATTGTTGCAACCGCAATACTTTCATATAAAATATAATAGCGGACTGGAATTCTTCTTCTTCTTCTTATTATTTTTTTTCTTTGTTTTTCTTCTTCCTCTTCTTATTATTATTCTTTTTTTCTTATTATTATTATTATTCTTTTTCTTCTCTCTTCTTCTTCTTCTTATTATTTTTTTTTCTTCTTCTTTTTCTTATTATTATTTTTTTTTTCTTCTTTTTTTTTATTTTTTTTTTTTTATTATTATTATTATTTTTTTTCTTTTTTTTTATTATTATTTTATTTTTTCTTCTTTTATTATTATTCTTTTTCTTCCTATTATTCTTCTTATTATTATTCTTCTTGCAGGTCACAGCTCATGCGCAGGTATTGTACCGGTAAAACGATAGGCCGAGTTGCCCATCATTGCTGGGAAAATCATCCGATTGTCAAAATCGGCTGTGAATTTTCCAACTTTACCAATAAAAAAAATGTGCCAAAACCTTGAAAAACGGCCGACCAATTAACCCACTAACGGTGCAAAAATCGGCCAATTTCCGACCTGTCTATGGCCTGCATTAGGGTGTCCTGTACACTATCCCTCTCTCCCAAAATTTTCCACTGTTGTGATCAATAAACCTTTTTTTGTTCATTCTAAAGATGACTGGCACCCATTTTTCTACGCTGTCCACCACCCACCATGCCTAGCAACCTGCACCCTGTGGTGAAATATCAGCCTTCCTCGTCTCTGGGGGTAACTACCATGCTTTCGGTGTTCAGGGGTGGGGGGGGGGGGGCGTTACATGTACATACTGTAAAATACATTTTTAAAACATATAACTATTTTTTACATGTAGCACTACCCTCTTGGGGGCCACTGTGTTTCTAGGTCCCCCTAAGCTGCGCACAGCCAGGCAACACGGATTTTCCACACTTGCATCCACAGACAGGGAACAGTCCATGAGCTTGGAATTATGGGATGTCCAACGTAACTGAATCAATGCTCGGGGACAACTCACTTCCTATTTACAGAGACAGATCCTGGACTGTTCTGCTCCTTGGAAGCCATCAGTCATTGATGATCAGTAGCAACTGCCCCTTCATGGGTAGGGACTCTCAGACCCTCTGAAAGGTAGCTTAGCTTCTTGTAAACTACATGCAGAGATGTCTCCTCTCCCCCGTAGATCTGCCCCCAGCTCCACAGCCTGCAGACAATACCAGCCCTCCTGGCTGCTCTGTGATCTCCCAGGACAAGGATAAAGGATTGAGCCCAGCGCTGTCCTTTGAAAGCTTGCTACATGTGGCTGTCTCTCCCCTTTTGAATCTGTGGGTGTGCTGATGTACTCACTCTATCCTCCATGCTCCCACTGCTCCAGGCCTTGCTGAATGGACCCTCCTGAGCCAGCCCCTCCCTTAGACCTAGGGGATCCCTCCCAGGCCACCGACAGTCTTCCCAGCACTCCATCTTCCACCCGCCTTCTCTGCCAGCCTGATTCTCCCCTATTTATGGGTTGGTCTCACCACTCTACCAGGGCCTCCAAACCTGGGATTGGCCAGACTCCCATATATATGCAGATCAGGTCTCCGACCCTTCTGCCAACTGGCTTCTGGAAGGTTCTATGGTCCTCCAGAGCTAGGTGGAGGCGATAGTGTCCCAACCTGTTAAGTCATCCAGCCTGACCTGCAGTAACCCCGACCTCAATCAGAGACTCACAGTTACCATGAGTCCTACACAATAAATTTGCCAACACTAGAGGGTGCTACATATAAAAAAAAACCCCAAGGTGCCTTTACTATATATGAATTTTTGTATTATGATTTTATACGAGTGCTATTTATGTACTTTGTCATTTATTTAGAAACGTTATTCCTTGTTAGTGACATTTTCAGTCTTACCCTTTATATTTATTCCCACAGGAGCCCAGACTCCATCCACTGAGAGGAGAGATGGACAGACGTGTGCACAGGTTAGTGGCAGAGCTCTTACCCTCAGATATACCATATATTGAACTAAACTTGCTTCTGCAGTAAATCACATGACTGTGGAAGGCCTGTAAAGATATGTAATAAAAATCACAGATATACTACAGAAACAAAATC